AATCTTGTTAGGGTCCAGATGATGCATGAATATCCCAATAAGTCCCAGCAGTAGTCATTATGGGCCTGGAGAACCAATAGCCTGGATGATGCAGAGGTTGACCAGCTTGTTAGGAGTTGGCTTCTGCAAGTCACCAAGATCACTAAAGACTAGAACCCTTGTCTAAAATTGGCCTGTTTTTCATCACCAGACACATGGTCAATTTAAGAAAGGTGTTGGCAGATTGATGGACTCTTTTTTAGCTTTCATCTAATGCCTAAATCATCAATCCCTGCTCTAAATATTTTTGGTGAAAAGACCTGGTGGTCTCCACAAATGCAGGACTTGGAGCTAACGTACATAGAGATTTTCTTTGAGGTGCGTTTCCCTCTAAGGAAATAAAATTGCTTCTGTCCTCTATATTTGATACAGAGTTTAAGATCCTCAAAAGAGATTAAAAGCAAGAACTACTGTGTATTCCAGAGGAGCAATTCCCAGGAATGTCACCTGAGAGTAGAGAGTCTTCAGATAACCTTCAGCTAATCAACCTCCAGAACTAGTGAAAAAATGAAAAAAAAAGAAACAAAGAAAGAAAGAGACAGGAAGGGAGAAAGAAAAGCCAAAACTTAACTCACAACTACATCCAAAGCAGTCAGCTAAGAAGAATTGAGAAGGTAGACCATGTCTAGCAGTGAGAAACCTAGTAAATACTTTTGTAGGTAAGTTCACAGGATGAATACAAATACAGAAAATTATTAGAAGGTAAAGAAATGCATATGAAAATAAGTGGAAACTCAAGACATCTATGTTCAGTTTCTAGACATGTCACAAACTCTGTGTAATTTAAGATTAATTTCAGCTGCCATCAGCACTGAACAGCTGTCTGAGAAGCTCGGTGATATCACACCTGAACTTGATAATCATGAAGGGCCTGGTTGTCTCTGGTCCTCAGCAACATTTGTCAACCTTGCCTAGATCTCCTGGGCTCCCTATGGTATTTCAGTTGGTACTAGACACCCACACTTAAGCAACTGACTTGATCTGTTAAACATTATGTCAACAGGCATGTTGAGAATTAGTGCCTTTTGTATCAAATGTATAAGAGTTTTAAATCCCATTCTGCAGTGACTCTATGTCTCAGCTTCCCAACAGTGGAAAAGAGAGAATTAAAACAACCCAAACCACTTATGCAAAACTTAGACCATAAGGCAATGCAAGCTACATAAGTACTCAGAGTGGTAGAGACGCATGTCTTTTAAAAGCAGCTATGAAAGCCTAGAGTGTAATGCAAATATTAACTGTTGATAGTGAACAATATTTTAGAATGCCAAAGATATAATAAAATGCTTCATATTTTTCTGTTAACTCACTTTGAATGCTGGTCCATGTTTCTGATATAGTGTGTTTTATCAATCTTTTAAAGAGATCTTTCTTTCATCAAACTGCAATAATAAGCAATAAAACTTCAGAATATCTTAAATGATTATGACAGTATACAAATAGATAGTCCTTATATACAGTCCTTAATCAGAACTGGTCCCCACTGGGCAGTGATTTGATTGAACTGTTTTTATCTCTGTGAATCCAGAACGGAGTCTTGGATGAAGTTTCACAGTTGTAGAAAACTGCATGAGAGCTTTTAGTAACCTCACACATTTATATATTTACATCTGTTTCTCTGCAAGTCAAGTTTTTTTTTCTCAGCATACTAAGCGATGTAGGCCTGCAAGTCTGCATAAAATTATAGTTTGTCCCAGGGACATCTATTGCACCTATGCATCAAAAAGATGCATAAGTTTTGTTATTGTTTATATCTAATTCATATACTGTGATTTATGGCTGATTTAATTGTTTTCTTGCACTTTGGAATTGGTTTACCCGTGAAGTAGCCTTCACATTATGAAACTGCAGTATCATCTGCATCTTCAAATACAGAGTATCTGCACAAAGTCACTACAAATTTCTACATCTGAAGGATACTGCAGCCTATTACACAACAAATTATCAAAGTTAATGATGATTGTGTATCCATACACATATTCAGGAACATGTGAACCAAGACCTGGGACTGAATCTGCCTTGGGCCTACTAAAAATGATGGAAGTGTCATTCCTGCATGACCCTAACAGTGGGTAGGAGCTGCACTTGCTATGGGCACAAACATGCTGTAAGTAGAATTAAAATATTTCATGAAAAACCACTAATTTTTTTAATACTATGTTTCGATGCATTTTAAAAACATATATATTGACAAAGTACTGAAAAATATTTATATTGTAAAGTTAATAGGAATCCAGCTGTTTCTTCATATAAAGTACACACACTTCAGGTAAGATAAACAAATTTTCGTCATTCTAACCACAGTCTAGTGAATAACTTTCCTAATGCCCAAGGGAGACTAAAGACAAGGAGTTAATTTCCATGATCTAATGAATTATTAACCATGAAATCTTTTTATCAGAAAATCACCTTTTTATTAAAATGCTAATTTAATTAATGGAATTTTGCTGTTGAGAATAGTATATATGCGATATATTTGTTCTCAGATGTACATTATTCCATGGACATTAATTATAACATTGTGATATTCCCTCTTCTGTTCTGAACAGCTAGTAAGACCTGTACTACTAAATCATACTTAATAGGAGTGTGATGGTTGTTGCTTAGGCAACAGAATGAATAAATGCAGGTCAGACTGTGCTTCCAGAAAAAACAAAAGCAGGAATATTTTACAGAATGAATAAGAAATATGTCTTAACTGATTTTTACTGCATTGAACTATTAGATCCCTTCAATGTAAAGCAGCTAACCTATCTGAAACATTTCAGTTAATAAGATTTTAAACTCTAGTTTAATATGTAAAATGCAGTAATAAAGGTAAAGCTGTTCTGTCATATTAAGGAAGAATACAACATACTAAGTTTGGAATAATCTGATTTTTTCTCTTAGCATAGCAGGTGTTTCTCCTCTCATTTTCCTATATACTTTTTAAGTTTAATTTTCCCTTTAATATGGGCTGGGATGAAAAAGAGCTTTTAAAACACTTGTTTAAATCTTTCAAGAGAGGCTTTTCTTACATAATGCAGGTGTAATCAAAGGAGTGATATAAAAAGAAATCAATGGTTTATTTCCAATAAAATATAGGAAATATTTGATTTCTGGTACAGACAAAAACTTAAAAAGCATGATGAATGGTGAAATCAATAAATTGGAAATTACAAAACTACTGAAATTATAAATTTTTTTATTACTACACAATTTCACAGCTCTTTTGTTGTTATTGGATTTATGAGTCTAATCTTCCATTCAATGCATGCTACCTCAGCTAATATTAAGAGTAATTATGTATTTCAACGGTAATATATCAGAAAAGGCTTAGAATTACCAGAAAACACTGGATAACAGAGAAGTATGCAAGCAAAAGTTAATCTGCCTGATACATTAGAAGTTTGACTTGCATACTGCATAACAAAATCTTGTCAGTAATTTGTATGTTTACATAAGTACAGTAATAAGAGATGCAGGAAAGTCATATAAATTCCCCAAGACCATGGTTCAGGCCCCTCCAGAGCCAGGGTATGACTGAAAAGCCCTCCAGGGCAGTTATTTCACTTCTCTGGTGCTCAGAATTTACCTGTGGTAGGTGTACCCCTCTGCATTTGTTATGCCACCTAAAACCTCTTGTGAACCATTTCCTTTTGTAACCTCCTTAAGACCAAATGATCACCTACTTATGTAACTAATGCTACAACATGTATAAGAATATGCAGTTACATTTTGGGAAACTGCAGCATGATACACTTTTTTTTTTCCATCCCTATATTGCTGAGCTGACAGCACAGCTTTGTTTTAAAGAATATTTAAAGGTACAGATTACAATGATTTTTACTGATCTAAGTAAATGATCACATGGTAGCCTTTTAAAAACAGGAAGAAATGTCTACACTATTGTAATGTGGAAATGGCAGAGATATGTCTCTTAATTTTTTGATCACTAGTCCAAAGGCATACAATGACGTTGGCAAAATAATGTAAAGAGGAAGGACACAACCCATGTGATGATTTTACAGATATAATATTCATGCCATTTCACTTCTGTTTCTTATATTGCAGATGGAAGTTAGGAAAAGTTAGAATTGTTCCAATATATACATGGATACTTCAAATATATTTTAAAGATATTTTAAAATATGTTTTAAGACCTGATACTTTTTAAGAAAGGCACTCAGGATTTTTGGAAGAGGCTCAAGTAGGAGGAATACTGAAGCAGGTGGAAAAGTGATTATATAACAGCTTTACAAGTAAGCTTCTCTCTTTACTGTCAATATTCATTTCAGTGGAAAGTTTCTGCATGACAGGTCTGTTACTTTACACCACATGGTGATATTGTAAATCCTGACCTAACTAAAATTTCAATAAATGCCTAGAGTTAAAACATAAAAATGGAACAATTAATAGGAATGCATTACTTTTTCTCTCCGGGCATAAGTTTCAACAAGTGAATCCCACAGCCTGATTACCTAAGATGCAAAAATATTTAACCGAGACATCCAGAATTACTTGCAGAGAGAGCACACTCCATTAAATAATTTTCTGTTATTAAAATACCTCTCAAGGCAAGAATGGCATTGCATGTTCTTTAATTATCATTACAAGTTAATGATGAAAGAAAAGTAAGAATGTGATGCACTGCAGAAAGGGGTGTTTGCAGCTTTTTCATACTATGAAAATCCTGCAATGGATTTTTCTGCTTTAATCGGAGGATTTATGAGGGAGAGAAAGAACATTAATACTCAGTTTTTATTTTACCAAATTTCAGGCTAGACTCTTTTGTAATGTGTACAGTATGGAAGTTTATAAAAAGGCAGTTTATATACAATTCAGCTGCACATAGGAAAGTGAAACACTAAACAGATCTTAGTGCAATGCAGAATAGCTCTAAGGTTTTACGAGCACATACGAGACAGACAAAAAAGGCAGCTACAGTGTATATACACAGCTATGCACGGAAGATTTCTTACCATGAATTGCACATTGTCAAATCCATTAGCCAGCAAGTGGTTTTCATACTGAGGTAGCCCAATATTTTCCAACCATTGTCCCACTGTCTGGACAGGGCATCGGGGTCCTGTAGGAGGGTGAAGAGGGAGGCGTTTAAGCAACGAATAACCATCCACTGGATAATAGCGGTAGTCCTGGGCTGAGAGGTGGCATTGCCACATTGTGTTCCTGGAAAAGTTGGTATCAAACGAGCCCGCCAGCTTGACAGATTAATGTTTTCAGCAAACAGAAAAGTCAGAAGTAAAACATAGTTTTCAGGGCAGAATATAACGTAAGGTCTGATCGCAGCTCTACATTTCTTGGTTATTAATCTTTACTACAGACCAGTACGTCATACAGTAGAGGAAAAAAAAAAAAGGCATATCAAGCTGTCAGCTAAGCTGCTCTCCGTTATATGTGATTGTTGGAATACTCCACAATGAGCAATGCACTGCCAGCAGCAAGAATTCTTTTTATCAAGTACTCCTACACTCATCAGTATGCAGCTCCATGCTTCTTGCTCCCCCTCGCTCGCTCCCCTTCATTACCCAGCCTAGGCTACACCTCGCATTTTCAATAATAGCCATCAGATAAGGCAGATTTTTTTTTTGTCTGCAAGCTGTAAGCCTGCTGCTGCTGCTTCCTCCTACACACCCATCCAAGCGTCAATCTTGAATGATGAGAGCAGTCAAAACAAATGCAGAAAATAGCAAGATTCAAAAGCAACCTAGAGCACTTAAATCTGAATAGAATCTTCATACCAGTTACGCTTTACATATCTATTTGTTGTAGATTTTTACATTTCACAAGACATTAAGGAACACAGTACTTAAAGCATAGCCCATAGCATGGTTTACTATGCCTTCCCTTTTCCCCTTTTAATGTAAGATAGGTAGTGGTCTGCATCTCTGCTTATATAATAGAAAAACCCTTTAATGAATCAATAATGAATATATTTCACAGTTTCTCTCGTGTAGTACAGCAAAAGACATAAAAAAGGCACAACAATTTTAGTCAAAGTAATTAGATTATCTGCATGATTTCTTCAACTGTAAAATTTAAGACAAAATAAAACCTTCATACCCACATATAATAATTCAAATTGAAAAGGTCACTATTTCAAATGAAAAATTAAAGAATAAAATTGTAAGTTTATATCCTTTCTTACAAAAATGTGAATGATAGCAAGTAGACATAAGATTTGCATGATTTCTGGAGAGGATTTAAATTTTAACTACAACTGGAAAAAAAAAGATTATGAATTTTAAATGAGCGGAAAATTCATTTTCTGCATAAGAAACCAAATACTTCATGATGTATTTTATATCTACATTTCATCTTTGAGACAGTTTCTCTCGAGGTGGAAATATTTTATTCCTTTGTTCTGAAAGGACTGTTTACTAAACTTATGTTTTTCATAACCATATGAAAGGACTTAGCAAAAAAAGGCAGGAAACAGGTATATTCAGGGTAGAATTCTAGAAGGAATCCTGTCAGTGGTGCTCCATTTATTGAGCAAATTAATTACTTTTTTGTTTTTCTTATCTATTGTGAATCTTGAGCAATGACCATCTCAAAGGAGGAATGTAATTCCAGGCATGAGGAAATTATAGATATTTGTCAAGGCTATAATATGGAACTGATAGTACTATGGCAGATAAGTGTTTCATAGAAAACCAAACCTACAGTCTGACCAACACATCATAATACAACGTCTCTTCCAGTGCCACACAGAAGGTCCCTGAGCAGTTGCAGAACAGATTCTAAATAAATAGAATTAACAATATTTTAAGAGTTTCAACTCCAATCTGACTAGTCCTTGGACTAAAACTGGATGACCTTTCACTCTGATATTGCTGCCTGGATTTGTGAAACATCTCATGCAAACTGAAGACCATAATAATTTTGTAGAATAATTTTACTTGAGCATAGAATATCTTTCATGAAGTTGGAAAGTTGCTTAAGGTCTCTTATAAGATCTTCTGCTATTCCAGGTATTCTTACTGACTTGATAAATTTAGTACACAAAGTGTGAAAGGTTCATTATGTCTTTAAAAAGAATACTGAACACTCACCAGGCACTGGTAAATCTGCAGTTGCCAAAGAAACTTTTAAGAGTTTTCTCATTGCTAAATGTACTTCAAATAAATGAATGAATGATTAATTTCTTCTCAGAGAAAGTAGGTATGCCAAACTGAAAGGAAATCTAGGTCTGACTGAGCTAGAAATGCATTTGTTCACATATGTCTGCAAATCATTCCCATTTTGAAAAGTTTTCTCCACTATTAATGAATATCTTTGTGTATAGATGGATCAGAATCCCTTCAGGATAGTGCCCAGGCATGAAGAAGGGTAGGCTATGCTGAGCTGAGATATAAGGGACTTCCCCCGAGTAGGCAAATTCAAAAGGCTGGGAAGATCTTCAGAGGGAAAACTGAGAAGAAAGTTATCTTAAATAAGATGAGAATTCTACCCTTTCTGATTTTTTCTCAGTTGATTGAGAATTAATAAACTTCTTTTAAAAGGATTCCTGATTCTGTCTTCCCCTTTCCTCTGTAAGCAGAAAAATTGATATCAGAAAGAGATCTAGTGAAGCATAATCCCTTTGAATAGATTATGCATGACTGGGTCCTGTACTTCCTATAAATGCAGAGACACAAATGTCTCTGCATTGTGTTCCCCAACACCAAAAATTTGCTGCCCACAAAAAGGCATGCACAATAATCAATATATTAGTTTCATGGTCGAACTGCTTCTTCCTTACCTTACTATAAACAGCATGGAAGCTATGCTGCCAGTGATGAGTGCTTGGCTCAATGCCTAGCAACAGTGTAGGCAAAATTCAGTTGCTGAGTGGCTCCCCAGACACATTTCCTGATGTAGCTGTTGGTACTGTGTCTAACTGTCTCCATGGCTCCAGCCCTGGATGATTATAGCACTGCTGGTCCCACTGTGCACTCTCTCCAACTCTGTCCTTTGCCAGTATAACTACGAGTCTGAACCCATCAACACAACATAAGGTTGCTCAGTGAGGGGAAACAGTCAGCTTGCTGCCTAGTCCTCACCCCTGATTATTGTTTCATTGCTAAAGTATCCTGTTATCTACAAGGCTTTTCTTCCCTCCTGCTTCCACCAAAGTTTATAGCAAGGCAAAGGCAGGCACAGAACAGAGCCAGGACTGTTTGGATTAGGGAACTTGCAGCTCTTTAAGATCTCCAGATCTTTGGCCAGTTCAGGGGTGTTACCTCAGGGGTTTGCTTGGGCAGTTTTTCTGAGCCAGTGCAATGGGAACCTGGAGCAGATGCTCCTGCTTTGAGACTAAAAGACTGTCTCTTGGTTTTTTTAAGTCTATGACTCAGTGCCAGCCCCACCAGTGTCCTGCTGCAGGCAGTGCCTACACTTTGCCTATGCCTAAAGCTGGGGCTGACGTTGAAAACGCCATGCAGGCTGTATGAGATGGTCTCACCTCAATGCATTTACACACCACTGTGCTGTCCTGTGATTTCAAACGACATAAATTCCATGATAATCCTTCTGTGATACCACAATCAAAAAAGATGCACCCATTCCTACATGGGAAAACTGACACTTAAGTTTCTTACAGAGATAGCAGTACTTGGCTCTTTCTTCACCAAGGCAACAGAAGAAGCACACTGAAGTGATGTCTGCAAGAAAGATGCCATCTGGTATGCTATACGATAATTTCTACAAGACATCTTGTTCCCAGTGGGATTCAGAATATGTTTATTATGGGGTTTGGAATGGACTGAATCGTTGATATCAGAGGGCACATGATTTCAAACATGTTGTAAGGTAGATCTGCTCTAAATGCTAAGTAATTTAAGGGCCTCTCAATTTTATTTTTTCTACTGTGAACAATATGAATTTTTCTTGATTTTTCTCCATTTTTCTTTACTGAGAAGAATCATTATGAACAGACTATTTTAAACAATTCTTTTTTGATACATAAATACCTGTTAAACATTGCTAAACCTAAACACTTCTGGTCCTAGGGAAACTAAAAGTGGAGGATTTTAGTAGTGACTAGTAGTGAACAAAAAATTTCTGAGTAGAGAATATGAAAGAATGAATCATTTAGGTAAGCTGTCAGGTAAGTTTAGCAAAGCTGGAAAAGAAATTGATGCTAGAGTAAGTACCGAAAGCTTTTTTTTTTTTTTTTAATTAAAGCTTTCAGCCTTGTATAAAGCTAAATGGGATATAATTTTTATATTTATGATCTCAGCCACTAAAAAAGTTACCTGTCTACATTGTGACAGCAGTTAGCATGGCAGGGTGTTCTAGTGAATAAACTAACCTAATGCATGTATCCCTGAGAGGAGATAAGGATAGCTAGGAACAGGATGTTGTAGAAAAAGTACACCAAACATCCAGCAGACTACTACAATTAAAGTTTATTATGGGAGAAGCATCCTAGGTTACGAGAAAGGTATCCAGGATTCTGGTTTATCTCATGCATTTCAGTTATATTATAAGGCAACTCCAATAGCTTAGAGATTTTAAATTCTCTTTTTTTCATAAAACTCTGAAAAAAATGGATGCCTTGCATAAAATCTATAAATTCTGTCAGTAGCCTGGCTATCTGGATGATGATGGTACTGTGGATGATAATATTTGGTGATGCTGAATATTTATCTGAAAGTGCTTTTAGAGATATTTTTTTGTGGCATATACAGAAACAAAACAAAATTAACAGGGACAGCTTGAATTTAAGTAACACTATCTAGTATCTATGATCTAAAGGTTACATTCCATTGCTTCTGTGTGGCTCAGAACTCACAAAAACAGCTCTCAGATCACAGCTAATCAAGCTAATGGAAAAACCCTCAGTGACTAGGAAAAATCATCCTCACAGCTCTTTTCTGGTTTTTATACCAATATTGACTATAACTCTACATTACCACTGTGTAAGTGCTGTATCTTTAATAACTGTAACCTCAAAGTCAACAAGGAAAATTCATTTTACTTGACAGATGATTTGTCAGCAGTGACCTGTACTTTGTGAAACACACTGGCCCTTCTACACTCTTGCATTCCTGACTGTTGATGTATTATTTACCCAGGAAGAGC